ATCTGGTAGCATATCACTTGAGTCAAATTCCCCTTTCCACATTCGAACCACCACTTAGAGAAGAATTTCCTGAAGAAAAACTGATAGTGGCGCAAAACATAACTCCATGGTTTGCAGACATGGTTAATTATTTGGCCATATGTAAGTTATCATTAGATTTGACGAGAGCTGAAATCAATCGAATTAAGCGAGAATCCCGATACTATATTTGGGACGATCCTTATCTATGGAAGCACTGCTCAGATCAGGTAATTCGACGATGTATTGCCGAAAGTGAGGTAAACTCAATTTTACAATTTTGTCATTCTTACTCTTGCAGTGGTCATTTTGGGCCAAAACGTACAGCTCATAAAATTATTGAATGTGGTTTCTATTGACCTAACATCTTTAGGGATTCTTATCTATTTTGTAAAACTTGTGAAAGATGTCAACGTACAGGTAATTTAAGCCGTAGGAATGAAATGTTGCTTAATTCTATACAAGTTTGTGAAATTTTTGATGTTTGAGGAATCAACTATATGGGTCCTTTTACTTCGTCATTTGGAAATACTTATATTATTTTAGTTGTGGATTATGTTTCTAAATGGGTGGAAGCTAAAGCCACTCGGAATAATGCTAAAACTACAGTTAATTTTTTGAAAATATTTTTTCCAGGTTTGGCACGCCACGGGCTATAATAAGCGACAGAAGAACACATTTCATCAACCGAGTAATCGAGTCGCTAATGAAGAAATTTGGAGTAACTCAAAGAATTGCTACCGCTTACCATCCACAAACAAATAGACAGGCAGAAGCATCAAATCGAGAAATTAAAACAATTCTTGAGAAAATTGTTAAACCGGACCGAAAGGATTGGAGTTTAAAATTAACCGATGCACTTTGGGCGTGTCGAACTGCTTATAAAGGTCCCATTGGGATGTCACCATACCGACTTGTTTTCGGTAAACTATGCACTTTACCGGTCGAGTTAGAACATCGGTCTTATTGGGCCGTTAAACAATGTAACATGGACATTGATGCAATTGGTGAAGCTAGGAAATTACACATTCAATAACTTGAGGAAATCAGAAGAAATGCCTATGATAATGCTCGGATATTTAAAGAAAAAATAAAAAGAATTTCACGATAGTAGAATTTATTTTAAAACTTTTTTTGTTGTCAAAAGGTTTTATTATTTAACTCCAAATTTAAACTTTTTGCAGAAAAACTCAAATCAAAATGGCTCGGACTATTTGCAGTTACTCAAGTATTTTCTCACGGTGCTGTTGAAATTGAAGATAACTCAGGAGTACGATTTAAAGTTAATGGTCAAAGATTGAAGCCATATTATGAAAATGCTCTAGTTGGTCTAATCGAAGAAATTAATTTAGAGGAACCCACGCTTTGAAAAATTAGGTCGTCGAGCTAATGACTTTAAACAAAAGCGCTTGATGGGAGGCAATTCATTTTGTTATATTTTTATTTTTATTTTTTTATTTTCATTTTATTTTTTTATTTTTTTAGCGAACTTTATTTCATTCTATTTATTTTATTTTATTTTAATTAATTTTATTTTTTCTAAATAGATCTAAATTCTGATCGAATATTTAACGAAAAAACAGTGCAGAAAAATTGACTTGGTTCGAACTGTGCAGAAAAATTCGAACAGAACAGTGCAGAAAAAATTGATTTGGTTCGAACAGTGCAAAAAAATACACAACAGATTCAAACAATGCAGTGCAGGAAAAAAACAGTGCAGAAAAAAATAGATTTGGTTCGAACTGTGCAGAAAAATTCGAACAGAATAGTGCATCATCAGACTGTTTACTCTACAACAGCTTGTCTCGATGTAGCCGTGATCGCCATTAGATTGGGGAGTATTCTTTTTTTTTCATCTCTTTGTTTTTAAATTTGATATACATTTTGAGGCAAAACGGAATAAGTGAGGGGGAAGGATAAACATATGTCAAATTTTTCTTGACTTGTTTAATCGTTTAAAATTGAGTTATTCTGATGTTGATATATTGTAATCGTTGGTTGCTAGTCTTGAATTTCGCTTTATACTCTTGCTTCCTTTTGGATTATGATTATTTTTTTTATCGAATTTAATTTACATGATTGATGATTGATATAACTAGCGAGTTTTTTTGTTGAGTATTGATATTTCATGCTTTTGTCAATATTGATGAACTTGACTCAATGCATATAAACTTTTCTTGTGAGATTTTGAGCCTAACGAGTATACATTTTCTTTATTGCTCATTGTTTGACTTGTGTGTGCCGAACTAATTAGGATATTCTAGAACTTGTAATCACAATGCATATTGAGACTACATGTTGAACGTAATGTTTTAATTAGGGATGGCAACTCAACCCGAATCCGACGGGTTCCGACCCGACCCGATCGGGTCGGATTTTTTTAAAAAAAATTCGGGTTCGGGTCGGGTTGGGTCGGGTTTTTTTTAAATGCATGTTCGGGTCGGGTCGGGTCGGGTTTAGGGTAAAAAAAATCCGACCGACCCGACCCGAAAAATATATAATTTTATTATATATTTAGGGATAATTACAATAATATCCATATATAATTTTTTTCAATAAGTCACTGTTTTCATTGAATTAATTTTTTTTATTCTCGGGTCGGGTCGGGTCGGGTCGCTAAGTCATATTCGGGTCGGGTCGGGGGGGGTGAAACATTAATTTTGTCGGGTCGGGTCGGGTCACGGGTGGAGAACCCTTTCTTCTCGGGCGGGTCGGGTGGCCCAAAAACCCGACCCGACCCATTGCCATCCCAGTTTTAATGTGGTATGGGCACCAAGGATAAACCCACTTTTCCAAGAAACCTACCCTATATTCACTAGTGAACCACATTTGAGCCTATTTCCCTTTTTGTGTTTTACACCTCATAATTAAACCCGAAGTCTTTTTTCCCTCTATTTTCACACCTTACCGAGACTTGAGATCTTGTATCATTGTTGTTTCAGAAAAAAAAATTCAATGTTTCAAAAAAAAACAAGTTGTTCACTGTATCGAACAACAAAAAAAAGACCCTTTGTTCGAAAAAAATGGAAGAAAAAAATCGATTGCTTCAATTGTCTTTCATATATTCTTTTTCCTGTTTGTTCTTATTGCGCTTCATTGTTTTGGATTGTTCTTAATTATTTTGATCTCTTGTTTCGGTATTTTAAATCTTTATTTTCGACCTTTCCCTACCCTAACCTAAGCCCCGTTACACCTTGTTTAAAGACCCCTTGATTATTGCATTATGTTCATTTTTCGTGGTAGAGACTTGATTGGATTCCAAGCCTATGGTAATATTGGTTAGTTTCGGTTTGAGCGGTTCCATTTACCCCCAAACACTTTGAGCGGATATGTGTGAATCTTTGTGAGGTATTGAGTCATGTTTCATTGAAGTTGGCAATTAATTGAGATATCTTACCTACTTTAAATTTTCTTGGTTATGTCTTTGTTTGAGTGTAACTTGAATTCGGCAAATGTCATGGACTTAATTCGATTGGAAGTTTGAGGAATAAATTGAAATTGAATATGACAACTTATGATTTTGATATATTAATTGAAGAATGCTTGAGGACATGCATTGAATAAGTGGGGGGAATTTGATAAGTGCTTAATTAGTTAATATTTTACTTTTAAATTACTCTTTAATCATTTATTTGTGGGCTTTTTATTCATTTTAATTCATTTCTGTACATGACGTAAGATTATGGAAATTGCACAAAAAGGACACAATTCTACAGATTTTTTATTTTCGGAATCAAAGCTGGCTGGAATTCGGATTTGGATTAAACTCAAATTTAGGATAATATTTTAAACATTATTTTATCTTTGTAGTTTAGTTTAAATGTTTTTAGTATTTTAATTAAGTTTTAGGATATTATTTTTATATTTTCTTTATCTTTGTATTTTAGTTTAAATAGGTTTAGTATTTTAATAGGATCTAGAATATTATATTATTTTTAGGATTTTAGTTTAATAGTTTTAAGTGTTTTAATTAGAATTAAGATGTTTTAGCTTGTTTTAGGATTTTGAAGGCTATAAATACCCTCTAAGGGTGAGCCTAGAAACATATCTCTCTCATTGAGAATAAAATATTTTTTTTCTCTATTTTTCGCATACTTTTCTATTATGCTAAGTATGACTTTGGTTATGCTTAGCTAATTTTCTTCAAGCCGAAGACTAAAGCGAAGGCTCAATTCCAAACGTAAGAATTGTAAGGTACTTAAATCGCTTCGGATTTTCTCTCTGTTTTTCTGAAGCTTACTTTTCAAATCAAAACTATTTCGACATTGGTCAGGATATTGTTATGGTTAATGTTTGAAGAAGGATTTGCTTATTGAAACATATTCAACTTCCCGAGAACACACTTAGCAAAATTGTTTGCTAAGAGGAAACTGAGATCGGAATCAGTTGTTGTTGAAACGACACAATCCGAGTTGGCAGCGAAGAATTGTTCTTGTAAGCTTACGTGAATCTTGAAGTAAAAATTTGTTTCGATGATCCGAGGAATTTGAGGCGAAGCTGAAGTGAGACTGCTTTCATAAGTTTCTCTTTATCTTAATCTCTTTAATTTGTTTATTTTATTTTTTTCTTTTATTTAATTATTATTTTTTTATTTTAACCACAACTTTAAAAAAATTCCCTTTTATATTTATTATTATATTATTTTTCTTTTTTTTTTAATTTTATTTTAATATATCTTTTCAACTTCATCTGTAATTCTATCTTTTTCTAAAATCAAGAAAGAGTTTTATTAAATCAGAAACACCACATTCACTGTGGATCGACCCTGCTTCTCTATACTACATTTTTATTTGTATTTATTAAGAAGTCAGAAATTATTTTGATAGCAAAACGACGATTATCATTCTTCTCCGGTCATCCATTACAAAATTGAAAAACTTTTCCATCCTTTTTTGCTGTGGCTCAGCCTCTATCTCTTCATAGGAACTACGTTTTCGCTTTATAAGGGGACCATTACCTTTTGATTCATCTGCAACGGAGTATTAATTGATATCTTGCAAATCATTCTGATACACTATTCGAACCCCACATTTCTTCACCTTAACACATTTGGCACGGTCGTCAGATGTTATCGACAATTGAAGTTCATCGAATACCTGATTCGAGTAACCTATTGTCGGTGAATCCTCAATTTCACTTTCACCACATTTATCCTCTGAGTAAAATGGATATAATGAGTCACGCGGCAAATAAGTATGATAAAAGTGGTCCTTTATCATGGGTTCGACATAATCTTTATTAAAAATCCAGCATCTCCATATGACATGCTGATGATTTTTAACCCAAGAAACAGATCCATCACAACTAGCTTGTCCAGATTTTCTATGATGAATAACAACTTCACATGTGAGTTCCTCATCCCTCAAAGCATCATCATCGACAAAAATGCAGGAGAAAGCAACTCCCATCCATTGACAATCATTCCAAATATTGTTAGGCAGTGGTATCTTGATTGACGAGTCAACTGTTTGATGGCTGAACCATTTTGGGATTTCACTTCCAGGTACAACAGCATCAAACCCTTTTCTTGAAATTACATGTTGCTGCAAAATATAACTTATGTTACTTGGTGACTAATACTAAAAAATATTTAAGCATGAGATTTTGTAAGTGCGAAAGAGAGATTAATTGACCTTAATATGTAATGTATAAGCATTGATATTCTCAGCCAATCTATAGCAGTGAAGACCCCTAAACCGTGCTCCACCCACTGAATTACATACCTTATTAGGAACTAGTTCCAGAGAAGAACAACCATCTATGTTTACACCTTCTGTAATTGTAAACCAAGGCAAATATCTAAGCTCCTTGCAATTTGACAATCCAAGATATTGAAGCTTGAAAAGTAGAAAAAGAGACGAAGGTATGCTGACGAAAATTGTTACCACTGAGATCAAGAGTTATCAAAGAGGATAGACAAGAAATATCGCTAGGAATATCTCCTTCACAAAGATTGCAGTCCTTTAGTTTCAAGCTAGTTAATGAAGTCAAACCTGACAATGAATGTAACATTAGAGGCAAGGACTCTATACTTCCTCTTCGGAAAACTTGGAAAAGAGAAGGTAGATTTGTTCCAAACTTAGATGATGTTCCCTTGCACCCATTGAAAGACAGAACTTTAAGATTTTTAAATTGGAAAATGAAGGAGGCGGTTTTGCAATGGCTGTTCCACTCAAGTCAAGCTCTTCCAGAAACTCAACTTGCTGCAAATTCTTTGGTAAATTCTCAACTTTATAACAACCAGAAAGATCAAGACTTTTTAGAGAACTGCACCCTCCTATTTTGCTTGTGAGATTCCTAAGACTTTTGCAGCTTCTTAAATTCAAAAGTTGAAGCCTCGAAAGAACTCCGATCGAGGAATGAACATCTACTATTTTTATTCAACCCTCCAATATCAAAATTTCCAGATTTGGGGTTGTCGCGAAGTCTGGTGTCTTTGAGGTTGAGCACTTTCAACTTGAACAAGAGCTGTTGAAAACGATAATGAATTAGAGATAGACGAGAAAAACTTGATCAAGAGACCAATCCGATAAAGCTAGAAAAGAACGATCGGATGAATGAATTCTTACAGTGTTTCCCTTCCATAGTTGTTCGATACGACTGTATGGCAAGAGAAGAGCAACAAGGTTGTCGGGTTGAAAGCTTGGAGGCAAGAATCTTAAAGGATATCCTGTCCAATCTAAAAGTCGAAGCTCATTAGAAAGATATTTCAGATCATCACAGTTTGAGAGGCAAAGGACTTTGAGCAATCTCAAATTTTTCATCTTCAAGAAGGCATCCACATTCAAATTGAGCCTCTTCTTCGATTCCCTGATAACCATTGGTAAAAGAACGAAAATTCACTTCAAAATATACCAAAGCATTCCCTGATAACAATATGAATATTTAACATCAATACACGTGTATGTATGTTTCCCACCCTTTATTGTCAATGATCATGCCTTCAATCCCTTCTGTTGCCTAAAACAATCAAGAACAAAACATAAGAAAACACAAAACAAAAGGAATATGATAAAACTTGTGAAAATTTACATTTTTGTATATCATTATTGCCTTACAGTGTCATGATAGACGCCTTTTTCCTCCCACAATCTACAACGTTTTCCAGGTTCCTCAATAGATTTTTCCCTAACAATTTTTCTTCCCATTTCTTGTAGCAAGTTATGCATCCACAATTTTGTTATTTTCATTAACTGTTAGTAGAGACTTCTTAATGAGAACATCGATTCCAATATCCGGGAAAAACTCACAACCATCCCATACTTTGATTACAAAATCTTTCTCCTCCCCATTGAAGAAGCATGCTATATCTAGAAATATATCTTCTCCCTTTCTTCCAATCCATCGAAGCTGATTCGAAGCTTGTCGAGAATTTCTTTGTTAGAATCTTTTTCAAGCCTTTTGATTGCACTTTTCCATTGAGTTGCATCTGTACCACACAAAAACGAACCCAAAACTTCAAGAGCTAAGGGAAGGCCACTTGCATATTCTACAACATGTTTAGAAAGCTCAATGAAAACATTTTCCGATACTGTCTCACTATCAAAAGGTTTCAAATTGAAAAGCCGAAGTGCATCACTGTCATTCAATGTTGTAGGCTTATACACGTCATCGACTCGGTAAGATTGGAGCAAATGTTCATCTCTTGTTGTTACAATGATTCTGCTTCCTAAACCGAACCAATTACGCCTTCCAACCAAGCATTTCAAGTGTTGTTCATTATCCACATCATCAATAACAACAAGAACCTTTTTGTGAGACAACCTCTGGCTAATTATGGCATTCCCTTCATGAACATTGAAAAAATTGAAACCTTCTTCAGACAAGATCTGGAAAAGAAGTTGTTTCTGTAGAGAAACAAGTCCAAATTTGCCTGCAAATTCTCGAACATCAGCGATGAAGCCTTTAACTTGAAAATGAGACGACGTTTGGTCGTAAACAACTCTTGCGAGAGTTGTTTTACCAATGCCGCCCATTCCGCAAATTCCTATAATGCGGACATCATCTTCCCCGATCTCTATTTTCGAATACAACTCTTCCACGCGTGAACTAATTCCAACCAACTCATCATGAACAAGTGGATACGTTTGACATAATTTTGCGGATATTTTTCTAACAATGTCTCCAATAAATTCTGATTCGTGCCTACAAAGAAACAGAATTTAGTCCTTTTCCTACAATTAAACACATAATATTATATATATTATATGTGATCCAAAAAGCAACAATTTTGTAATCATTAAATTACCTGTCATTATCTTCCTTGTATCTCTCTTCATGTTTGGCAAAAGCTTCTTCAACTTTCTCTTTTTGTTTCCTAAAATTAGATGGATCCACGTTGTAGAAAATTGGAAATACTTTATGTACTTTCTCGTTTTTCTGTCTAACAATCTCGGCAAGCTCATCCAAGCACCAACCTGAAAAGGCATAGGTTTCCGATAAAATGATTACCGAGCACCATGATTGTTGGATGGCTCTGAAGAGTTCCGGTGCGATCTCTTCCCCAGCATCCAGCTTTGGATCATCCCTGAAAGTTACAATTCCACTCCGTTTTAGAGCATCATAGAGATGATCTGCAAAGTTCTTGCGGGTATCTTCACTTCTAAAACTCAAGAAAACATCATATTTTCTTCTAGAAATAGATGATGAGGTTGAAGGTCACGATGACATGATGGAGTACGAGAAGGAAAATATATCGAATCTGGTTCTGAAAATCAGAAAAGAGATCTCACAATATCCAGAAAGAAACTATAAACAATCAAAGTATAGGAACATAAAAAAGGAGAGCAAAACAGACCAATTTTCCAAGGAAACAAATCTGGGGTTATAGACCAGAAATGATGTATTTGAGAAGGTTTTGTTCATCAGCAAGAAGCAGAGTTTGAAATAAATAGTTGAATTGCTTTAGTTAGATGCGTTTACTTGGGGTTGGTTCCTATGGTTGATATTTTTCCCACCACTTTCTACGCTCTAATTTCTTGTCTAAGAAAATGATAGGGGGAGACTTGTCAAGTAAACGTTGGATTCTATGGAGGATACTCTCAGCATGGTCACAATTATGGAGCACTATATTTACAATTACTGTTTAAGTGATGAAACATCAAAACAAAGTTAAGAGTTGCGCAGTAATTTCTTTATGTAAGAAAAGGGTAAACTTTGATTTCCAAAGTCATCTGAGTAACTGCAGCTAGATGAAATGATAATAATTTTACAAGCATATGGACTAACTTCAGTTCAAGCCATGATCAAGATCAACCAGTGCCTACAGTGGAAAAAAAAAAACATAATTAAACCTTCAAATCGAATTTGCACTTATATTCCGAAGCTACTTCACAACAACTCATTGAGTAGAAATCAGAAATGAATGATGCATAGCCTCTACCCTAGTTTCCCTAATAATTCTATTGATGGATTACACACGCACATATTCTATTTTATCATAAATTTATGGTGCTTCTCTATGTTACTTTATACACTTGGTTTTCCCCAAAGTACTGGTGTTTGTTTGACACATATATGGAAGTGGAAAAAGGGGTATGATCCTCCTCCAAAGATGTGAAATAACTTAAAAAAAAAAGAGCATGCATGTAGTTGGACAAACCACTTTGGGTAACAAGGGCATTTTTTTACCGTTTTTCCTACTGCTTGCATCAAATGTTCTTCTAAATAAAAAGTTCTCAGTGACTGTTTCATTGGTTATGATTTTTGCTTAGGAATTCTGTGCAGATTGGCAAATAGAAGCAGCTGGTCTACTCGTTGCTATACCCTCACAGCTGACTGACCTTGTAAGTTTGTTGCTTGTACTTTGCTTTGTAGTTGATCCCCGAACCGTGACTATCATTTTAAATTAATCATTTGAAATAGGATTATTTAATTTGACTTTGATTGAAAGTGATAGATAATTTGAATTTGAATGCCATGATTCTTGTTTGATCAATTTAGTTCCTTTTTTAATTTAAAAAAAAAAAAATTTGCCTTATATTAAAACTAAAGTGTTATGCGGTTCGAATTGGCGAAGGAGACTCATAAAAGCCTCAATGTTATCATCCAATGTATTGATCGTGACAGACTATTTCATGTGTACGGGCAGAAAATTATTAAAATAAAGAAAATAGCAAAAACAGTAGGTCACTCTTTGGTCTATGTGCTGCAACGTCTTCATTGCAACAAAAATCCGAAATCCCGCCTGTAAGCCCTTTTAGCTCCTCCTCCTTTCAATAGCTTATCAAGCCGCTAGCGATCTATAAACGACTTATTCATGAGGTTGACGGCATCATCCATGAACTGCAATAACAGTATCAAGTAACCAAATGAATCATGACATATTATCAGATGCACATACTTTACATCGATAGTCTTTTTGACCGATCGTTTGAAGGCTCTGGACCTATGTTGCTCGGACTTTTCATTTTTCTTAAAGTACCCATGTCTAGTGCTTGTGTTCAACATATGGATAGATATCTGTGGTAGAAATCCATTTCCATCTGTACAGCATGATAAACTAGAACAACCCCATTTCCATCTGATCAACCTCACAAAAGGCTATATGAATGCCATGGACCTATTGGCTACAAATATGTTGACTCATTTCAAATTGCAAATGCAACTACCCTGAAAATATGGTGATTAACATCAAAAGTTCCTTATTACGGATGCAAGCAACACGATAAGTGGAACATTCCATATGTGCTAGAAAGAGGAGAACATAAAAAAGTTACAGATTTCTACTTGACACAAGGCCACAAAATAATAGGTTTCTACTCATCACAAACGTATCCACCTCGATGCTTAAAAGCTTTTCTTAATTATGTTGACTAATTTCAAATTGCAAATGCAACTACCCTGAAAATATGGTCATTAACATCAAAAGTTCCTTATTACGAATGCAAGTGACACAATAAGTGGATCATTCCATGTGTGCTAGAAAGAGGAGAAAATCAGAAAATACAGATTTTTACCTTTCCAAGCAACTTTAGTTCTTTACTGACCGGTTCCAAAAATTTTGTGTTAACTTCAATTGGCCACACCTGTAAATACCGAAAAGAAGAAATAAATTAACAAAAAGTGTGTAGAAGGCAAGGTTTACACCCCGGACATAAGCAAAGGAAGCTATCACTAAAACAGACACGATGCTTTGGGAAGACAAAGGAAGCAACAGTATCCAAGTTTCACTTTGAAGATGAAATGGCAAAGTATATCTTTCGAGTTTATGTTGTATTTCTGTGAAACTGTGCATTACTCCAGAAAATTCCTTCAAAAGAAATTAACGATTAGACCAAACATTGAAATCATACGTTGTTATGCTCTTCCGAAGGTTAAAATTTAAAATAAAATTTTAATCAAATGGTTAAATAGATACATCTAGAAAGACCTAATCACTAGAGGCTCTCAAAGTTAAGTAGACGGAGGCAGAGAACCATGGAACAAAGGTTACAAACGCAACATACAAACATGAAACAAGTTTGTTTCGATAAAATCGAATGCAACGGCTGACGAGAGGTCTTCAAACGGTCTACAGACATGCAAAATCTGCACAAACCCGAGATAAATCCTTTCATAGTAGAATAAGATAACTTATGGAGCAAAATAAGTTAAACTTCCTCAAATGTTTCATATCAAAATTCCAAACCAGAAGACCGTCTAATTGTACTTAAGCAACTAATACTACTAGTTATAGATTATGATAATAGACTGATTAAAAAAAACTCCCATATTGGCACTAAATTATCCCCCAAAAAAAAGGAACATGAATCATATTTTCCCCAACAGGAATTGAAAACAAAAATACCTTAAGACCAAGTAATCTAATAGGTGTAATCTGGCCCGGGACGATGCATTCGGGTCCAGCTGCTTCCACAATAGCCTCTGTCGCTAACCCACTTCCTATAGGATCCGAGTGCTGCAAAAATCAAAACAAAAATATCAATTCATTTTCTTCTTCTTCTTCTTTTTAAAAGAAAAGAAAATTGATTATAAAGGGGTGACCTTCATGATGGCGAGGGCATAATTGGAATTAGGGGTTTGACGTAGACGAAGAATAGGGGAGTGGTGGATTCTAGGAATTGATTTTCCAGCTGAGGCACGCCATGGAACATCCTTTGGCAACGAAGCTCCTCCTTTCTTCGACATGCTTTTGGTTTTAGTTGAGGATTGAAACGAAAACAACTCAGGGGTTTGATCGAATTATTGATTGGAATTAAGATAATGATAAGAAATGGATGGAAATTAGTTCATTAGAGAAGCTGTGGAAACTGTGGCTTATCTCACCTGGTTTTTATAATAAAAACTGTGGCTTATCGAATATGTTTATATTTTAAAAAAAATCTAAAATTTCTTGTTTTTTTTAATTCTAAAATTTGCATTTTTTCACAAAAAGCCTTAAAAAAATTTATTTTTTCTTTAAAAAAATCTATAAAATTATTATGAAAAACACTTAACCTCCCTCTTTCAGCAACCTCTTTCTCCTTGCTAAAAAAATTGCCACCAACCACCCTTTTTTGTCCAATTCACTTTATCATTAGTCTTTTTTTCTCTCATTAAATCGCTCATTTCATTTTGATAATCTCTTTCATCTCATTATCAATTGTTTAGTCTTTCTTAATATCAAAATGTAATAGTAGCGTCCTTCTTCTTTTTTCTCTATACCACCGATCATTCTTTGGCCTACACTTGTTATAAAAGTGGTTGGTAATGGTTGTTGATCTCGACTATCTTAGATGAGATTTATTTTAATATTTTTAAAAAGAAAATTAGTTTTTTTTTTTAAAATAAAAATAGGATAGATGTTTTGTATTCATCAGATAAAGAAATTTTTATACGAACTTTAATGAATCGACCTTAAAATAATTAAAAATAAATGTAATAATTTAAACTCTTCATTTAATTAAACAATTACAATAACTAATTTAAAGTTAACATTTTTTATGAGCTTAAGTTATAAGGAGAATCGAATTTTTTTAATTAATCACTGGTATCCGATTTATTGACCGACTAATCTAGATCGGGTACTGCAGAGGCGAGGGCAGCTCCATTTGCAAACGTCAGGATTCGAACATCTTATCTTATTTGAAGGACCTAGTGTCTCATCCCATCAGAACAACTGATTGTTGGTGGAGAATCGTATTCTTAAACTCTTTAAATATGTGTCAAATGTAAATAATAAACATGGATACTTCCAAAAAAAAATATGAAAATAACATACGTTATGATATACACTTGCAATATAAATGCCCGTTGATTTTTAGTCTTTAAATTAAAAATTATATCCTTAAACTCATACTCAAATAAATAAATAAATATATATATATATATATAAAATTTAATTTGTGAAGAACAACAAAAAGATACAAGTTGTTCCTCAAGAGTCAACGATCATTCGATTAGCAACATGTAACTAACAAATTCCAAACATTCTTAATTACATTCGCCGCTGTTGTCTCCGATCATCTTCGATGATCGAATTTCGACACTAAAATATATATAAAAATCTGAAAACGAGAAAACGTAGCATACCATCAAAATTGAGAAGGGAATAGCAGAAACCGCCTCGACTGCAAATCGTTTAGCCTCCCCCTTTCTTTGCCGCCTCTTCCTCCAGATTCTTCCATGCCATTTCTCGTTGCTCTTCCAACTCGTCGGCTCTGGCCGCTTTCTCTTCAAGCTGTCTCTCGCACTCGTCGACTAACACAGGGTCCATTTCCACGAACATCTTCCTCACATTGACGGTCAACCCGTGAACTTCTGGATTCCAATGACCTCTAATGTTCTTCTCCAACGCCTCGAACATGATCGGCAACACCACCTTCCGGTTCTGCGAGATTAAGTCCACGATGTGCTCGCTGTTCCAAAAGAAAAGTGCTCGTTCCGCGACCTGCAACACAAAACCCTGACCTAGGACCACATTCAAACAAGCATAGCTGGAGGAAAACAAAATTAGATTCGACAAGAAAAAAATTAAAATTTTCGACTCAATGTTACAATATTTGATTTAATTCATAATTTTATAAATTCGATTCGGCTCAAAAAGATTTTAAATAAAGTATAAGTTATAAAACAAAATTCAAATAACACAAATTTTTTTAATAATTAATGGATTAATTTTCAAGATATGCATATGAAAAATATATATGTACCTACATGATATATTTTTATAGAAAATTGTTTAATTTGAAATCAATTAGTACTATAACATTATAAATATTTATAATTAAATTTTAAATAAAAACTTGAATAACTCGGCTCGAATTTCATAAATTGATTCTAAAATATTTCAACTAAAATTTAAATTATAAAATAAGACTTATCAACTTAAGTAACTCGAACTTTTTTAACTGGACTGATTCCATCTAATACTCACCTTTAAACATATCTACAAAGAACAAAATTCCTTCAAAGTTACCTGAAAATTGGGGCTATTAACACAACGTGCAACCCGTCGGAAGAGAGGAACCATACATCGCTGGAACTCAGCGGCCTGCATCGCTTCGAGAACTTCCTCGACTTCACCGAGGAAGAGAACTTCCTTTTGGCAATTAACCAAAGGCCAATACTTCAACAACCCTCTAACGACTACATCAGCCAGCTTATAATCCTTATCAACAAATTGGACGATACAATAAGCTAACTGCTGATGATACAGAGAGAGCTGTTTCAGCTTATGCAAAGGGATCAATGATCTCGTAAGGAACAGTTTATATTCTTCTTTGATCGGCACCGTGAAGCCATTGATTATACTTCCGAGGATCTCGAGAAGCTCGCCAACGCCGCAGTGCCTCTCGGTTTCATATATGAACCTATAGAATATGTTGTTTATGCCTTTCCTAATACACGGACGATGCACCACGAATTTACCATAAATCCGGTGGAGAACCATTTTTATATACTCTCTTTCCCTTGAATCTTCAGAATCAAACAGATCAAGCAGCTTTAAAACGAATGTATGATCAATGTATCGCTTGGCAGATCTGGTTTCTGTATCGGAGGAGACTACGTACCTCAAGAGGAGCTCGTAAACGATCTGTAAATGCTGCCATGCGGGTTCCGAATAGTTTTCTTCGTCTTCGGGGTCCCCACCTTCCGGTGCTGTGGCCTCGTGATACCCCGGCGGAAGGGATCGGAAAATGTTGATTCTCACCATCTTGATCATCTCTCCGAGACACACATCCGCGATCTTGCCCGTTCCGGACTGGATGAAATCGACGAGTTCCAACAATGTTTGTCGCTTGATCTCCTTCTGCCGTACCGATTTCAAGGAGTCCGTGAAATCGAATTGGAAGCAACAAATCTGTAATTTTCGTAAGAACAAAGTCTGCTTTTCTGATTTGGAGACGTCTTTGAATAACGGCAGTGGTTCCACCTTCGTCATCGGAGGGAGGCTTGATAGAGGGTCACGGGGACTCGGCAATTGACCCGATCCGAGTGCACCGGATCCATTTACGGGTGCATCCGGTACGTCCGTTTTATAATGCTTCCGTTGTCCTCCTTTCCTAAAATTCTTAAACATCTTGGATTGAAAACAATTCAAAAGACTGATCGATCTATCAAAATAGATATTTAAAAGAGAAAATCGCCTCAGTGACCAAAAAAAAGTTATAATATACGATTTTAACCAACTTTTTTTGGATTTGCCAAAATGACCAACAAAATCGCAACGCGAAATAAAAATCGCAACGCGATCCCCAGAATCGCAAATCAGTTTCCAGAATCGCAACGCGATTCTTGAAAATCGCGATGCGATAGTACAAATTCGCATTGCGATTTTCCATAATCGCAACGCGAATATGAAAATCGCAACGCGAACACATAAATCGCAACGCGTATCCGTAAATCGCAACGTGTATCCGTAAATCGCAACGCGTATGGGTAAATCGCAATGCGTATCCGTATATCGCAACGCGTATCCGTAAATCGCAACGCGTATCCGTAAACCGCAACGTGTATCCGTAAATCGCAACGCGTATCCGTAAATCGCAATGCGTATCCGTAAATCGCAACGCGTATCCGTAAATCGCAACGATAATCCGTAAATCGCAACGCGTATCCGTAAATCGCAACGATAATCCGTAAATCGCAACGAGAATCTGTAAATCGCAACGATAATCCGTAAATCGCAACGAGAATCTGTAAATCACAACACTGAAATTTTGGGTATATAACACTGAAATCATAAACTAAATCCCTAAATCGCAACTCATTCCATCTCCATCTATCACTCTCTCTCGACATCCGTTCCTATATCCAACGACATCCTTCCCCATCCGGCAACAGGTCTTAGTTTCGCATCTCGTTTGTTTAGTTACAACCATGAAATCATCTAATGTTGATCATGTTTGGATAGATTTGTGTTTTGGAGGGTCATGGGATAATGTTAATGGTGTTTTACAATATATGCCTTTACCCATAAATCTTCAACTAAAATTGTCTTTACAAAAGTTAACTTATGAAACTCTAATGCTACGTGTTTCAAATAAATTGAATTTAGAGCCCTAAGTGGATTTAGGCTATCTTATCAGAGAAATGGTAAAGTTATTTGTTAACCGACAATGAAGATGTTGAACGATTCATTGCTTACATTAGTGTTTCACAAGATGATGTTACATTGTATGTTGTTGAACCTAGAAGTAGTATTGTTGGGTCAGTAGCGGGTAGTAATCAACTAAGTTTTTCTCAAAACCCACAACCTTTCTCTAATCCAAATCCCAATCAACTTTCAGCACCAAATTCCGGTTTTCGTATTGACCAGTTAGACGATGATGAGCCAACAGAAAAAATTGTGAGTACTAGTCAGTATTCGAAATTTGGTCTGGTCAATATCCGGACTTTGATATTGGTCAATACACGGATTTTGATGATGTTTCAGAAGAAGAAACAGACCATGCGTGTAATGATATTGATATTGGTCAATACCCGAATTTTGATGATGAAACAGCCGTTGCCGAAGAATGTAATGTTGATGATAATGAGGAGGAAGTTACGACTGTGAATGAACATGTTGAACATCCATTCTGTAATTCATATAATCTGAAGAAGAAAAAGAAGAAGAAAAAGTCCCCGAAGAAAAGAAAATGCCACGGGCGTATAACTGGAATATGCCAGAATTACTTCAGATACCGGAAGAAGAGTTGATAAAGAAAGCAGTGATTGTTACACAAAAGTTATTCGTATCAAGAAAGATGATTGTTTTGATACAAAGGAAGACTTGAAGATAGCTTTATATACGAAATGTGTGGAAGATGGCTATCAACTAAAAGTTAACAAATCAAGCAAAGATCGT